TTACTTATTTTTATCTTTTTTTCCAGTTTATATTTTCTTCGGTAACGAAGCGGATTTGATCCAATTTATGACTATGCTTCAGATACGGAAGCTGCTTGACTCCAAGGAACACGTCATCATATATATAGACCTATACATTTATTCGCTGCCTAACGCTTACAAGTATTTCTGGCGTAAGTAAACACTTTCAATATTTTGAAGTTACTAAAATCTATAACGAATGTCGTTGTTTATAATTATTGCAAAATCTGTGTTGAATACATGAATTTGTGGCAAGAAATTACGACATTGCCATGATATGTCTTTCTTAACCCTTTCGCGACGGGAAGCGCAAACGCATGCTTATCACTGAGGTAGGCAGCATATGGTAGTATATAAAGAGTATTTAAACGGTATATAAAGAGTATGCTTTATATTATACTAGCAGCTACGCTGCCAGCCTTCGTCTGGCTTTTAAATGTAGCGGGAAATGCCTAAATGGAAAAAACCCACAATATTTTTAAAGTATTACGTGTAACAATATTAGAATGAGATAAGCAATATCCCTTAACACAAATATTAATTATCCTAATAAATAAATTAACCAACTTCCCGTTGCAAAATCTTAAGAATTCAAATGGTATGAAGGAAGTAAAGAACTTGGTTTCCTAAAACAAATCATGCAAAACATTTTATATAATTAAAATTGTATATAATTAAACATAATATAAAAATTATCACAATTAATACAATGAAGTAAGAAATAAATCTCATATTTTCGAGAGAAAACAGTCAGCAGTCCAGTATCCAAAGCAATGAATGAAAAACCAAAACCGCGATTCTAAAAGAATGAAATATTCAAAATGATGCGATAAATCGAAAAGATGAAATAAAAAAATCTGATTCGAATTTTGAAAAAATCGCTTCGAGGTGCACTGGCTTTTTTCTAGATTCACCTATATATACCAAATTCCGTAGCCTTGGATCTATTAGCTTACGCGCAGCACAAACGAAAGACAAACAGACACACTCTTTCTTTTATTATATGTAGATATTTTTATAGATACTCTTACGGATTTTGTAATTATTTCGATATTTTTGATAGAATTCTAATTGAAATTGTTTTATCATCCCCCCTGTAATGCAGCGCGGAACGACGTTTAAGAAAAAGCTACGCCGAAAATGTAAAAATATAAGAGCATGCACATTGAAAATTTAATAAATAGATATCTCGTAATTTATATTTAAACTCTGTAAATTTAATTGACTACTCTGTTAGCTGTGATCGTAATTTTATTCTATTGCTAATCTAGAAACCTCGAGAAAACGGAAATTATCAAAACATTCTCGTGCTCGATTAAAAAGCTTTAAAAAGCCGGAGAGAAACATCTCAGTTGAGTTGTTTACTTAGTTATTATTATTGATTGTAGGGAATTCACGGTGAGATCGGATTAGCTTTCTCTGTGCTTTGTATTGCGTTCTGTTTAATGTTTTAGTAGTTTAAAATATAGTAATTTAAAATATAACTACTGTGTTATATTGTACGAATATCTGTGAGGAAAACTTTCAGCCTTTTGTTTTATTTCTTGGAATAAGAATAAATTTTATTAAATTTTATCGGACTTATGCATTCAATCTATTAAGAACCCGTACTCACGCAACAATTTCCTTTTCCCCCCCTCGCCTTACAAAGCTACATCTAGTGAGCTATGTCTGTAGATATTAAAATGTTATAAAAAATTCAGGAAGTTTCGGCATAAATTTGAATATAAATTCGGTCTTTAAGCCGTTACAGACCACAAAAAATAAGTCCTGAGTTTCCTGATGATGAAGAACACCCCCCCCCGACATTTCGTAATAATAATTTATTTAATTAAGTTATTTCTTGTTTAAATATATATTTCACACATTTTATTTTCATTATTTACTTACCATTTAAAACTTTTAACACGTTGAACGCCACGTCAGCCGTCTGTGGCTGACACTAGATTTTCCATTTACGCCGCGTCAGCCATCTTTGGCTGACACTAGATTTTCCATTTAGGCTGCGTCAGCCATCTGTGGCTGACACTAGATTTTCCGTTTAGGCCGCGTCAGGCCATCTGTGGCTAACATTAGACTTTCCGTTTAGGCCGCGTCAGACATCTGTGGCTGAAAGTGGATTTTCCGTTTAGGCCGCGTAAGCCATCTATGGCTGACACTAGAACTTTTCGTTTAGGCCGCGTCCACCGCCGCTGGCTGACAGCGTGAAACATGATATATAATTAAAGGATTTACACTGTTTTATGAAATTACACAAAATTTATTTAAAATTTACTTAATTTTGATTCATGATTTGATTTTGATTCATTGGATGTCATTGAAAATGGTAAACATTAAAACGGTTCTCCATTACAGCTATTACAAAATGTGACTACACACTTTTAGTCTTTTTTCTGGCCATTACCATACCAGCTTCTGTTGTATTTTAATCATAACATAATTTATAATATTTTCGTACTTCAGAGGCTTTTCCCGGTTTTCTTCGGAGTTTATGTTTTCGTCTTCTAGATATTCTTGCATTTTTGTTCGACGGAATGTCTTCTTTTTCACAACTTGTTGCTATCTTCTACCGCGATACGAATCACTGGCATCCAATACCAGCGCTTTTACGCGAAGCTCGTGGCCTGAACGGGATTGCCTAAAACATACGCGTGGCGCTCAACGTGTTAACATTATATATCTGAACTCTAAATATGCTAAGAAAGCGGTATTTCTACTGATTCTCCTATGATCATTTTGTCGGAGACTGAGTGTCTATCTTCCAGTTCACGTGCAAGATTTTACATTTTGTAAAGAGACGTTTTTGTTAGTCCAAAGGGAAAATTTGTCCAGAAGAACTATTGATTTCGTTCTGGCATTTTGCGTTGGTTCACTATAAATGCCGGTTCACTTTTCAAATGTTTGCCAAGAAATGTTATCGCCCTGTTAATATATAAAGAAATTGTAGGGTTTATATTTATTTTAACTAACATTTATTTTAAGTTTAAACTACCTTTCCTGTCAAGCCTTACTTTCCCTGGACTGCCATGGCCAGATATGTAAATTTTAGAAGAACGCGCAAGGATTCAATTATCACGATATTCTGATTAAAGAAAGGAAACGAGTTCGAGGTGTGATATTCTTACTTCACGAGCGCGGAGGTATTGGCAGAAATTGAAGAACCCGCTTTTCGGGCCTGTGTGCTTGCCTGGAAGTAGTTTATCGTTCAGTGATCTTCAAGTTTGCTGAATTACAGCGTATTGTAAAACGCGGTGAGTAGTTACTTTTAGGAGCCTCGTAGTTAGAGTCTTGTCTGTAGTTTCTTTCAGGTTATTTTTTTATTGATCGCCGAGTTGCGCAGTTTTGTGAGCGTCAAGAGCACGCACTTGTAATTATTACGTTGAATAAAAAGGGACTTAAACCCTACAAGACTCTGTCTTTTATCCATTTTCACAGCACCTCTTGGTTGCGGCAGTTGGAGGCGCGCAACGCTACAAAATTAAAAGGAAGAATCTGCATAAGTGTGCATGTTTCTTGCATTGTGATAAAACAATGTACCTGAGCCATCCAATTTAATAACGTAAATTCCATAGAATATGGGCATGTGGAAGCCCGAATTTGGAATTTGATGTATTATCGATTTCATATTGTGAAACACTTTAACGAATTTTTGATTAAGAAACTCAACGATTTCAAAGTGAGCATGGCAACAATTTGCGGGGGGGGGGAAATCATCTCTAGCGCGCGAGACTGCGCGTTGGAAATTCTAAAGATAGGCTCATTTAAAAATTATTTTGCGATATTGCTGTTGAATTGAATTTTATGTTTTATGTGCGAAGAACATGATATTTAATCAATAAAGGCAACGTACAAAATGTAAAAAGAATAAAAAAAGAAAAAAATCCCCTTTGGACGTAATTTAAAATCTAAAAAATATCAGATTTTCTTTTTTTATTGGAAGTGGTGCTGGTACTGGTAAGTGTTCAAGTGGATTATTAGGCTGCACAACAAATTATGCGAGTACACACATCACGTTCAAATTTGATTTTTTCTATCTCAAAGATGCACAACGAAAGAGCAGCAATGTAGTTTTAAAATAATTTTCTTGGGCCACAGCATAAATTATATACTTTATTGCTGCGTTGTGCAAAGTTTTACTGTTTTCGGTAGTGATTCTTTTCGCCCTCTGGTATTTATATTTCTATCAAATATACTATTTAATATTTTAGTGAAACAGCTTTATTTTTTCCCGCTCGAAAGGAAGGGTATATTGCTAAGGATAATTAGAAGGGCTAATAACTCAAGTACTCTTTATCAGATATCGGGCGGTAAAGATTTTCATTCTTGCTGCTAAGCGAATTAAAAGCAACCTATCTGTCAGTTTTCATGGGATTAACGTAAAATGGATAAAATTGAAAAATTGAGTAAAAATTTGCTGTAGTATTATTCCATCATAAATTATTGCTATTATATAAATTTTGCAACTTTTGAATAAAGGAAGAATTATTCAAGATTTTAACTATATATATTTTTTACATGGGATCGTTTTCCTTTCTAAGGTTGCAAAAAATACTACCTCTATGCGAAATGGTAACAACTGCTATTTGACCGCCACCAGAGATATGCATCTTGAAAAGAGAAACCTTTTGGATTCTTTCGTATTTTCCCTCACAATTTCCGATGCGATATCATGCACACCGAATTTGTTTTATCGAGACAGGATTTTACACTTACCATTATTACAAATGATTGAATGAAAACAACTGAGGTATAAATATAAAAAAGAAAATTGTTTCCTGGAAAATTTTGTTCGTTTATTGTTCTAGAATAAACATTTATCGATAGACGTCTCTTTTGAATCCTATCAGTTAGAATAAGATGTACTTCAAGAGCCTTAATTTTCAGAAATATATGAGCCCGAAACTAAATGCCTTATAATAAAATAAAACAACAACAAAAAAAACAAAACAAAAAAAAAAAAACATTAGTTAAGTAAAATTTATTATCTTGTTTTTTGAGAGTATGAGTGATGACAGAGCATTTGATTGCGGTCAGTAAGAAAATATAACCAAATTCGTGTAATACAATGAACAAATTCAGTTTTGAAAACTCCCGTTTCGTTCATTTATTTTACAACAAAGCTTGCCGACGTGTCATCCAATAGCATGCAGGATGACAGCGGCCGAGTTGCAAATTGTCCCCCTCTCTCCGGGAAACACACGTGAAATCCGGAGAAAAGCTATCATACAGTCCTGTCCACGCTCAACGTAGAAGACGACGGTCCGAAATGTTTCTGCTCGTTATGTTGCTTTACCTGACTTGGATTCAGGAATCCTTTCCCGCAGTAGGAACACGTGTGGGGAAAGTCCCTCGTGTGACAACTTATCACATGTTTACGGAGATAGCTAGAATGAGCACATCTGTATTCGCATTGCGTACATCGGTAGGGTTTCTGTCCGGTGTGTGTCCTCTGATGTGACCAGACGTTGCTTTGACTAGCGAAATTCTTTCCGCATTCGGAGCATCGGTAAGGCCTCTTGTCGCTGTGAATATTCCTGTGTCTGTTCAAGTGGCTTCTTTGCGCGAATGCTTGGCTGCAGACGTCGCAGACGAACGGTTTCTCTCCGGTGTGCGTTCTCATGTGCCTGCGCATATGGAGGGCTTGCGTAAAACTCTTTTCGCAGAGCTTGCACTGGTGAGGCTTTTCTCCCAGGTGAGTCAGCAGATGAAGCTTCAGACTACTTGACTTTCATACTGGAATATGTGCAGAAGTGACATTTATGTCTCCTGTCCGCAACCATATGCGGATGACGCTTTCTGTGTCTCAGCATGCTGTCTTCCTCCGAAAAGAGAGCTTGGCAAACATCGCACTGGAAGCCGTCCACTTCCTCTATAGATATAGGATTAAAAGATAAAATAACATTAAAATACGGGTAATCACTTAATGGGCGATCAAACGCTTTTAGTAAGTTAAAAATTTCTTAGATCGCCCACTAAAATCGCATTTTAAAATTCGAACGTGCTTTGAAATGGCGGGAATAAAAAACGATTAAAACGACAACCCATTTGAATGCCGCCATCTAAAGAATAAATAAGTAACTCGAAACGGCTTATCGCATAATGCATCGTAAACGAAATACGTTTTCTGTGAAAGAAATCTGTGCGCTAATTTTGAGAGATGTAAATAAATACTAGAGAGCGGTTACTATTCACAGGAAAGCAAAATGTACAAAACAGGCTATTCTTAAATGGTTTAAAATTTTATACCGTTATTCAGACTGTTTTTATTGGTTTTAAATGATAACAAAATACTCATTGTTAATTCCATAAAGTAAAAGAAGAGACTAATTTTTTTCATCTGACAAACCGTTTCTCTCTGTCTATGTTATTAAATAATAAGAAATCTGCACGGATGTATATACGCTGCGCAAAAATAAAAAAGGGGGGAACAAATTTATATCTCTCGTTCTACTGACTGGGCCGATTGACAAAATTCAACTTGCGTTTTGTATGTCTCGACTTGATATATGACTTGATATATTTTTCAGATTTATATATATCATTGTTCTAATATACGTATTTTGACACAAAATCGAGAAATTTCTGAAATGACATGCCGATTTTTTTCCATATTTCGATTCTACGATTCAAGTTTTGTAAACGTCGTACGAGCAGTGTTTAAAAAATTAACTCTCAAAATTTTAACTCCTCCCTTTTAATTGAATTTCGTATATATTTATTAATCTCTCTTTTTTATTCTACTTATTTGATTCTTCCTTCGACATTTAAATATAGAAATTTAGGTTCGTTCCAAATAACATTACCCAAATTTTTATGATTTATTTTTAAAATTTGTATTTTAAAATAACTTTTTTGGAAAATCATTTTGCATTATAACATATAAAATGTTTATAAATCCTCTTACAGTAGATATATTTCTAAGCATACCTGCAAAAATTTAGAGTTTTTATTCAAAATTTTCTAAGATTTACCTGAATTCGCATAACATGTTTTGAAATTTGACATATTTTTTAAGCGATAACAACTCCAATGTGGTTTACGCACTTTGTAAAAATTATTTGAAAGTAATGAACAATGATCATTTTTCCGCTCGTGTACAGAGAAAAAAAGGAAAAAAAAATTCCGCTCGTCTGCAATAAAAAAAGAAAGAAAATAGGTTGCCATAAATTAAGAAGCTAACCAAGAGAATTATTCCTGGCGCAAACTGAAAAAATAAGCCAAGATAAAGTTTTCAATTTCTCTATAAATTTCGCACCAAATTTCACAAAATTTAACATTTAGGCATAATTTGACGAAATATGAAAATTAATATATATAAAACGAAATATGAAAAGCAAATGACATTTAATTTCAGAAAAGTCCGATTTTGTGTAAAAATACCTATTTTAGAACAATGTTATATATAAATTTAATAGAGATTCTAAGTCGCGCTTTTGACATATGAAAAACTCAGTTTGAATTTCGTCAATCTGCCCAGTAGAAAGGGAAAATGTCACTTTTTTTTTTTTTTTTTTTTTTTTTGTTGTTGTTCTTGCTGCAGTGTATCTAGAGTTACCCATTTCTGAGTACATATAATTTCCCACCCTATCATGCACACCTGGAAGCCCGAACTTTAAATTTTGATTTTGTTTATTTCATATTTTTTTTGCTAATTCAATGAGTTTTCTTTTAAAAACTCTCGGTAATACGTATTTTTCAAATTTAATGAAATATCTAAATTTAGCAGATATCTCGGATATATATGTTTCATATTTAGTCAAAAATCTTCGTAAAGAAGTATACTGACGCTCAGCTACACGCAATATATTTCTCTTTCCACTTTAATACTTACAATTAAGAATGTCTCGTTCTGGTGCCCAGCGTGTCTTGAACGCCGAGTTCTTTCATGCCTTTCACCTCTCAAAGGATTCAGTTACTGCTGCCCGATGATCATCCTGAATGTTTACATTTCGCACAGTGGTTTTTGCAAGAAAGGGCCCTTGATATTAATTTCCCAGCTTATGTGTTCTATACGGATGAGGTCGCATTCAATAGGATGGCATATTCAATCATCATAATCAGCATTTGTGGGCTAAAGAAAACCACGGTATGCAATACCCAGCAGCACAACAAATTTTCCCGAAAGTTAATGTGTGGGCGGATTTCGCCGACCAAACCTGCTCACACATTAACCACCTTTTACCGTCTAGGTTGAATGCCTCGAATTATCGGATCTTTCTGAAGCAGGTTCTTCCCGGCTTGCTTAATGATGTTCCACCGAATGTGAGGCGAACATGGGGTTCCAACATGATAGGGCGCCTGCTCATTTTGGATTGGATGCTCCTAGTCGTTTGAACAGATCATTCCCGCATCGATGGATTAGACATTATGGACCTATTCTCTGGCCCTCCACGCTCACCGGATTTATCCAGCCTTGATTTCTTTTTGTAGGGATATATCAAAGTGTCGTGTATCACGATCATCCTGTTGTGTCGAAATGGATGCCAAGACTCGCCTACGCAGCTGCTACAATCAAAGAAACTTCCGGTGTGTTTGAACATGGCCGGCATTCAATGATCTGTCGGTGTCAGGCATGTTTGGCATCTGATGGTCCAAACTTCGATCATCTGTTGTAACATTCAAGCTGCCGTACACCATTTGTATTCAAGTCCAATAAATTTTTCAAATTAATCACTATCTTATTTCCTTTCTCATCTTCTACCTCTGCTACCACTTACCCCCAACTTTTCCGAGCATGGGTTCCTATGCAATTGTTAATCCTTATGATGAGTCCTACTGCCACCAGAACTTTGTCGCAACATTTACGGGACACCCTGTATATTATAATAATTGCTGCTTGCCGCTGGTCAGAAAACTGAATAAATATTTAATTTAATAGAAATGCATTTATTACAATTTCCTGTTTAAGAAACTCTGTTGAAATTTGAAAGATGAATTAAGATTTTATTTCTCGTTGAATGACAAATTTGAAATTTTTTAAAGTAAATTTTGGTTATTTAAAATTTAATATGATTTTAGTATTTGTAAAAATGAAAGAACATAAATACCAGCAACGTCATCTGGAACACATTTCTTTGTGTCGATACCCAAATCACGAGCAAACTGGTCTCCGTACCACACAAGAAGCTCTGTATAAGGTAACACGTATTTGTAAGTCTTGTAATAAATCATCTTTTTATATTCGAATGCTGTGAGAGACTGTCTTTCTTTAATATCTGCACAGTTCACGAAGCGCAACCAGCTGGAGGAGGATTCATCGAAACCCTCGATATAATGATGAGCTTTCCCGCCTTTCCATACCTTCAAAATGAACAGATTAAAAGTGTAGTATTTGCAACATTTCTAAAAATATTAAAAATCTACATCATTGTACTGGTAAAACAACAGTACTGAAAAAGCAAAGTCTCTATAATTCCTTACCTGACAAGCATATCCGCTTTTACTGGCTTCCTCTCGTTTTCGCACGATAGTTCCTTTATAGGGACCGAAAACCATTCCTTTCGGAAGAGGAATTTCTGTCCATACACCTAATCCAGCTTTTGGTAAGGATGATTTCCCTATTGACAAAAAGCATGGAGTGGAACCCAGTGCTTTGTTTCGTAAACCCTTTGCTACCTGCAAAAAATAAACGATACAGAACTTTATAAACTTGCATCAAACTAATTTTTACCATATCATTTTATTGAATGTCTACCCATGGAACTTAACTATTACATTTTACAACATGAAAAACTCAGATGTGGACATCATATGACTTTAGTGTACGACTTAACAAATTAAAGACATTTTTTGCTGCACTTCATTTAAACATATTCCTCCAATTTCATTTAAACATATTCCTCCAATTTCATTAGAAATATATTTCTCATTCAATCAATTCAGTTTTTGCTTGCGGCAAGGCAAAAATTCATGAAAACGCAAAACATATTTATCAAAAATTGTAAATACATAAAAACCTAAAACAACAATAACTGTTAAAACATTTAAAAAAACTGCAAATGAAATTAGAGTTTCTATTCAAAAATAAGCATTTCGGCCAACGGGCAAATAAACAAAATTTTCGGTCCAGAAAAAAATTAAACTTTTAATCCCAAGCCAATGGGGAAGTGGTTAGTGACTCTGACTACCGTACCGAAGAAGCCAGCTTCGAATTCAAGAGAAGGCAACGATGTAATTTGTCTGTCCCTTCATAGCAGGCAACGGTGGCCCACCTACTAGGTGCCTACATAATCAAGAGACCATCATTCAAGACCTTAGGTGTGGCCAACGTCTATAATGGCTAGTGCCCGCAACTGGGGAGGGGGAAAAAAACTTTTAGTTCCACTAGGCAAAAAGATATTGAAGTTGGTGCATCAAATGACTTAATTCACTGTACTATTAAGAGTTTTAAAGGTAAGCAAATAGCGCCAGTATTGGCTTAGTTGTACTTTTAATTTTTGATAATTCTACAAGTATTGCATGCAGATAAAGAAAAGGCAAAGAAAACCCTAATCGGGACATAAGAACAACGTAATTCAGTCACTATTTAAAGCACAAAATGCAGAATTTACTAACGTACAAGACTAATAAACTTCTGAGGCAAGTGCCTGATCAGCCTTACCCTTATCCAGCAGTAGTCTAAACGATTCAATGACCACGAATATTCTCAAACAAATTTCAAGAGTACATTGAACTTTATTAAAACACAAGTGATGCTTTGAAGCTCTGGTTCAGATTCAAGTCTGAAATAAGACCGAAATCCTAAGTATTTTTTGTATAGACCTAATTAAAGTTTTCCATATTATTCTTATTCTGCATCTGTAACATAATTTATCGCTATCTAACAATTTTATAAAACTGGGTATAGAATATAATACATATCATACGAAAACATTTTAAAGTAATTAATCATAACTTTACATATTTTTTATCAATATACACTCAAAAAATCGTAGTAAATTATTTTAGGTTTAAAAGCTCTCTGGACCATACGTGAATAAAAAAATACACAAATGCCTTTTATTGAAACTGACACATTTTTAAGAAAATACAAAATTAAATAAATCATATTGAAAACATGCATTCATTTCATTTAAAGTTATGTCTGAAGATTTTGTTATAAAGATTATCAGCATTCTTAGTGGCTTTATGACTTTGTTTTAATTACGACTTTTCTCACAGGTAAAGAAATCATTTTATACTTTAATGTTGTAGAGTCAGTAGGATATTAGCAACAGGAGACATGAAAATGAGCAAAGCCCTCGCCGGGACTCGAACCTGGCCTCTCGAATACACGGCGAGTGTGCTAACCGTTACGCCATGAAGGCATGCAGAAAGGCGGGAGAAAATAGCTTATGTCATTTACATATTTTTTATTTGCATAGTAAAATGCCTTTTTTAAATTATTGCCCTGTGTAATTTTTATTTTTTACTCTGTAGAGACATTAGGATATTTTAGAAAAGTGAAAAATGAGCAACACCTTCGCCGAGAATCGAACCACGGATCTCTGGAATACGCGCCCAGCGTGCTCACCACTACACTACGAAAATAGGCTAAGAAGGCAGGAGAAATACCTTTATTCTTTTTACATTCCACTATTATAGCCATTATGACCATAATAATAAAAATCATAATATAAAATGAGTTGTCGCAAACTTTGCGTAAAAACTAGTTTTCTATTTTTCTTTATTTTTTATGAATTTTTGATTTAACAAATTATATTTTTTGTTGGTACAAAGAACTCAATATTAAAAATATTTCTTCAGTTCTTCATTCGAATTAGGTTTTCTTTAATTGCTTACCTTTTGGTCGCAAACCAACAGCATGGGCCCATGAGTGGGGCAAGCTCCTTTGTGCTCTAAATTGCAGTCTTTACAATCTGTAGTGAGTTTAAAAACATTTATCTTAAATGACAGAGCCAAATGAAATAAAAAAATGAGTTTGAATGAATATGGATCATATATTGAACGAGTTTCAGACTATTTTAAAATTACTAAATTCTACATTAAATATCATTTAAAAATATCAGACTAATGCAAATTAACATATTTCGAGCAATCTTTGTCATATTTTGAGTTATTTTTAGTAAAATTTACTTATCAAATTTCGGTTATATGAGCACAGGGATTAACATTATTGTTTAAACTTGATTATCAATTGTAGTTCAAAAAATGTTTGTTGGAAATATCGCTTCGAACTTTTATCTTAGAAAATAATGCTTACAGATTTTTAAATTGCTAGGTGACTTCACATGCCTTTTAAGAAATTACATATGCATTATTTACACAGTTCCATAATAAAATGATACTTGGTATATCTCTGCGCGTATAAATGTTTGTATATCCTTATTGTATACTGACAAGAGAACCAAATTTATGAAATTAGACGCACAGATTCTTCTGGAAAGCTCCGTGTCTTATTGGAAGTGATTTTGCTTTTTCAAACTTTTATTAAAAATTTTCTTGTTAATGATGATATTCATGTTTAATGTTTTTCATATATATTCTCGTTTAATATCGAACTACTCATCTTAGAATACATCTCGGTAATGAACAAACTGATGATTTTTGATGTATTGAATTTAACTGCTAGAATTTCAGATGAAATCAGAGTGTAATAATACCCTGAAGGAGGTGCGAACAAAATAAAAGACGGTTTTCCAGTATTAGAACTTCGCCGAACAAGAAATAACATAATCAAATTCTTACTGAAATTATTTACTTTGGCATTCAGGATTTCCAAAATATAAAAAAAGAAAGAGAAATGACTGCGAGTTGAAATGCTTAATAAATGAACAATTTAAAAAATACCGGCAATCTGATCGTGGAATGAAAATTTCAGTTTTGACACCTCAATTTTAATATAAACAGTTACTGTAGACCTACTAGCACAGATCTACGTATATTAAAAATACTGTAGCTTCTACAAATATTAAATAATATTTCGGCTTCGCTTAACAATTCGAATCCTTCATTTAATTGTTGTTTCTATATCAAAAGCTTTAACACGTGTATCTATACCGGTAATAGCGCATTTTAAAAAAGGCTTTTATCAAAAAAGCGTCTTCTGGACCGTTTGAATGTTTAGTTGTTTTTCAAACAACTACTGATGCTACATACCGCCATAACCAAGGCTTTTTAATATAAAGAGTAAAAATTACATAAAAACTTGTTTACTGGCAAAAGACGATAGCTAAACAACAGATGTCCGACTTGATCTATATGCTACTCATTAAATGATGTGGGATAATCTTAAGAGCATGGTTCATCTTTGATACATATTCTGCCAGCTAATATACATAACACTTTGATTTGCCTTCTGAAAGCTTTATAACAATTCAAACATTTTTGTAACAGAAATTATATGGCGATTACCACATTTAATACAAGTCTTTTGCTCAAACCCATTTTGGGAAATTGCTAAACGATCAGATTGCCAGATATAAAGTAATTAATTATACTAACGAAAATGGAAGCGAATTGTGATAAAAATTTTACAAGCGATTTCGTGCAAGGAACTATTTTAAATGAATAATTCTCTGTATTCTTTATAATTGAAGTAATCTTCAAATATCTTATCCAAATTACTATACCCTTCAAATTTAAAGCAATTACTAAGAAAGGTACAAATGACAGGCTTTTAACGGAAGACCATTTGTTTCCGCCATTTGCATGAAAACCGTTTGTCTCTTCTTCCTGTCCACACAAGTAATTTTAAAAACAAATTTATTATTTCGGCTTTGATTTAAGTAGCTACACCAATTTATAGAGATTTTAAGGCTTAGAGTTTCAAGCTGGCGATTACTATTATTAATGCCAGAACGTTATTGGGAAATTTTATTCAAAATTAATAAAATGTCATAAAGCTAAATGAAAGTACGAGTAATTTTGCAAAATGTGTAAAATCTCAATTTCGCTGCTTGAGTTTGTTTTGTGTATGAGTTTCTTTGCATTTGGGATTTGTTTTGTATATGAATTATATACAGAATCATCGACTGCTCTACTTTATTTTCGACGTATTTTTCTTTCAGGTTTTATTGACAAGGGAAATAATGCATTCATATTTATCACAAACCTTTTCAGACCATAGTATAAAAAGGGATTTTTGACATTTTTTGTAATAATAAAATTCTTTACTCTTTTTAATAGAATTTTTGTAACGCTTTAAAAGTTAAAGTTTTTTATTATACTTACACAGGTAATCATCATCGCTGGAGATATCTTCCTCTGTGTAAATTTTTCTAGGGATATTACGTTTCGGATAACGTTTTACTGGTGCGGATTCTGAAGAAGAGAGAGCGAAAATTAATTTGTGCTAACAATTTTCAGCCTATATGTTTAAAATTAAACTTATTTACCACTGACCTATCAATTCCACTTCTGGATTAGCGTCATTTTCGATCATCAAAAAGCTTTCCAGCTTTCGAAAATACACTTCTGCTCGACTGAGAAGGATATCTGCAATACTTTTATAATCCATATTCTTTGCCTAGCAGTGACAAATGTTAAGAATTTTGTTATAGCACATGAAATTATTTCATTCTATATATTGAAATATATAGTCTTCTCGAAGTTAGAAAAAGTTTTTAAATTCCTCATAGATAACTCTTTTTAATATAGCTATATTAATTGACTATTTGTCTCACCTGATATATTATTAAGTTTTTGATGAAACGTAAAGAAAAAAATAAACTAAAATCGTTGCCGAAAATTACTGAATAATGTTTCAGAAGAAATATTAGCAGGAAAAACACAAGACAAAGAATAATACAAAAATTAAAATAGTTATTTAAGCATTTCAAAGCATGCGACATCGATCAGCCTAAGGAGACATATCTTCGTGGAGGATTTCTAAAGAATACCAGCTCAAACTGAAGTTACACATGGAAAAAACTATTAAAAACACACCATGCAGTGTCCCCCCGTTCTCTTGTGTTTAAACACGGGTCATACTACCAATATTCAAGGGTTTCAGTCCTCAGAGCATTAGTGGATCCATTAATGCAAGACTTTAACAATTATTAACCACCGAGATTTTATAAATGTCTTTAAAAATGTTGTTTTCTTTAAGATTCCTTTGATTTGGAAACACCCTAATAGGATTGTTATAAAACTCTTACATACCTTAATTATTACACTTCCTACTCTCATCCCCACAATAAATGCAATTACTTTAAAACTCAGTTATTGTAATATTTTTACTTTGGTTCTACACATTTCTGGTGTCCTAGTTTTGAAACGAATGTATACTCTTTTGCACACAAATCGAAGCACCATGAAGGAAGTGGTTGTTTTTGATGAAATTGAATATGCATATAGCTCATACACAGATAATAAAATGGTTAAAATATCAAGATCATAGTACCTGTTCACTCACCCCCCATTGAGTTTTCAAATTAGTATGTGGTCGAACCGCCCTTGTCGGCAAGTTTCCTAATGCCATCCTGCGACACATTCTGAGAGGCATTCACAGTTGTCTCTCCAGATCTACGATATTTTGCGGTGGAGCGGCCTACTATATCCCAGACATGCTCGATTGGTGAAAGATCTGGTGACCTTGCTGACCAAGGAAGGGTGTGAACCGCATGGAGACAGTCCATGAATATGGGTGAGGTACGTGGCCTGGCAGTATCTTGTTGGAAAATGGCCCCAGGATGACGTGCCATGAAGGGCAATGCAACCGGCCGCAGGATGGTATTAACATATCGTTGAGTTGTTAAAGATGTACGGAGGATTACTAAAGATGACTTGCTGTCATAAGAAATAGCGCCCCACACCATCACACCAGGAGTTATGGCTGTATGCCTTTGTAAAACAAAGGCTGATCGGGACCGCTGGCCCCCTCCTCTTCAGACACGAATATAGTGGTCATCTGCTTCAAGAGTGAAGCGGGATTCATCGCTGAACACAACACGATGCCAGTCTGATGGCAGCCATGATGATCGGCTGCGACACCACTCCAGACGACTCCGCCGATGTTGTGGGGTCAAAGGCAAACGTCTTAAAGGCCTCTGTGAGCGTAACCCCGCCTCAGACAAACGCCGTAAGATGGTGAACGGTACCACGGAAGGTATAGACATGGCTGTAGTGCGTTGAATAGTCGACAATGATACCGTTGTGGCGGAACGGGCCTGGCAAACAGTCATCCTATCTTTCCTCGCGTTTGTGCTCCTTGGCCTTCCAGAGCCTTCAATTCGTCGGCAATTTCCTTGTACAACCATTTCTGCTAGCATCTTTGCACAGCAGTGTCTGTACTCGACTGGTGGCGGCTTTTTGCTCGGTATGACCACACAGCTTCAAGCAACCGTACAATGCGACCACGTTCTAATTCGTTTTGTTGTCTGTAAGGTGTTCGATATCGTTGTAATGGCATCATTAGTTGCTTCTTTACAGAATTACAATGGCAGGAAAAAAAAAAAAAAAAAAGATAAATTTTCCGCCTCTGTTAGTGGTTTTATACTTTGCGAATTGCGCACTAGAAATACGCGTTTTTATCGCTATTCCTGTTCATTTGCCTTGACACTTTGATCATTTGCATACTCGATCAAGATGTTTTTGCATAACAAATTTCGTCACGATTGCCAAAGTACTCTTTGGTACGTCAATTTTTTTGCAAAAGAGTGTATATTCACTCCTTCATTAAATTCATCTAGATTTAAAAATATATTGCGTTAAGCTAACATTAATGATGTTTAAAAGCCATATGTTAGATGACGCCTTATTTATTTATTTAATTTAAATTCTGCACAGGACTCAGTTTTGTTTTTACTTCCTTGGTAAGATGTAAAAAAAAAAGTTTCAGGCAGCATAATTCAATGAAAATATCCATTTTGACCGCTATCGATTGCAATTTAACGATGTTTTTGCGTGATATCTGTACGTAACGACAGAATAAAAGACTCGTTTCCTCCCAAAAAATTATAAAACTGCTTTAAAATGAATTCTGAAGAAAATTTTTGTGGCGTCTGTACGAACGTATGTAAAAAAATCGAAGCACCATGAAGAAATTCAAAGCAAAAAAGTCGAAGCACCACCATTGTTTTTGATGAAATTGAATATGCTGTATAGTTTCATACACAGATAATAAAATGATTAAAAAATCAAGGATCATAAGTACCTGGTTCATGGCTCACAACCCCCATTGAGTGTTCAAATTAGTAGGTGGACGAACCGCCCCTGGTCGGCAATTACATGCTTGAAATTCGTCGAGGCAAGGAGTGCATAACTCAAAAACTAATGTCATCCTGCAGACACAGGCTGTCAGGAAATTTTGTATCAGTTAGAACAGCTATAGATCATGTAGATATGCACCTCGTATTTTGCTTGCAATCGGCCGCACCAACGTATATAATATATTTATATATATATCCACTCTGTTATCCGGCTCAGTGATCTCAGTTTCTTTACACTTATATGTTTGTAAATTGTACATTTTTTGCTTTAAAAATGATTGAATTATGTTATTCTTATCTTCCGGTTAAGGTTTTTATGCCTTTAGTAAATCTGTATGCAATATTTTTAGAATTATCAACAATTTTAAAGTTGTTTAAGTGCCGCTAAGCCTAATAATTTTTTTGATGGCGGCCATTTCTTGTTTACATTTGAAACAGCAGACCAGTGGATTTGTTGCCAATCTAGAAAAACTTAGGTTCGCAACAACAAAGATAACGTCTTTATTTATTATTTCGAATTAAATCATGCTTAATCGTTTCTGGAATTTTTTCGAGGAAATAAGTGTTTAAGATTTATTTCGTAATTTTTAATGCATATATTTTGAGTTTTTTATGTATTTTTGCCTTGTCGTGAAGTGAGAACTGAATTAATTGAATGCGAAATATTCAATCGTCTGTGGAAAACAGTTTCTTTTTTGTTTTGTTTGCTTAATTTCTTTTATTAAATTTAATTTATTAATTTTCTAGCTTTATTATAGTATTTGAATAGAACATGTGGCAACGATTAGATAATTCTTTAAATGATATAAATTTTGTGCATTCTGAGTTATGAACGAAATGTAATACTGTTAAGTGAACCTAGCACCAGAATGTCGCTATGGTAAACAAATAGAGTGAATTTTAAAGAATGCATTTATTCTATAGTGGTTTATATGCGTTTTCAGCGAAGTAGATTTAATTCAATCCAATAAGTTTAAACAAAATGCAAGAAAAAATGCGTATAATTTAATATTCCGTACAAGGAATTCATGTGGTGTATACATCAGATTTTTTAAAATCAAATTTATGAAACAAACTTCCCTACTAAAAATGCTCGTCGAAACCCATAATTTTTTTACATGGAGTTGGCTTACTGGTACTCGTACAGCTCTGAGGGTACTCGTAGGCCAATTCCCCTTAAAACCCACAGACGGAAACGCGTTTAACTGTGCGGGTACTCAGGCCAAATCCCCGTAAAAACCATAGAAAGAAACCCGTACAACTGTTCTGGTACCCATAGGACAAATCCCCGTAAAAACCTATTAACAGAAACCCGTACAATTGTACGGATGCGAGTAGGCTAAATCTCCGTAAAAACCTATGGAAACCTGTAGGATTGTAGGCACCATAAACGAAATGCCAGTAAAAACCCATAGCCAGAAATGAGAACTTTTTGCGTATCCGCAGGCCAAATCTTCATAAAAAAATGGATATTCCCTAGGTCTATTCCTTATAAAAGCCAGTAGCCAAAAAACCGAACACCAATATAGGTACCCATAGGCCAAATCCCTGTAAAAACCAATACACAAAAATCTACAGACCAATAAAGGTACCTCTTGTCAAAATCACACACAAAAGAGTAGTCAAAAACCCATAAACACACAAAAGAGTAGTCACAAAAGAGTAGTCAAAAACCCATAAACACACAAAAGAGTAGTCACAAAAGAGTAGTCAAAAACCCATTAACAAAACCAATAGAATTATACTGTGAGCGGAGTATTTATATATAGAACCGTACATAGAACGGGTATCCATATACAGAATCCCTATACAAAATACGCAAAAATAGAACTGTAGATCAAATTTTCATAAAAACATTAATCAGCAGACGTACATAATGAGAACTGATGAAATGTACAGAACTAAATGGCACAGAAAGCATTAAGAGTAATTTTAAGTAAAATTCAATGCGAATAATCTTCATAAAATTTTAAAATATCTAGAAAGCTACAAGCTCCTGTCCTTCTATATGCATGTCAGTATTTATAAACATATTACAAAATATTTGTATAAATTCTCCTTACAAAATTTTAAACTTCCTTTATATAATTTTGAAAATAATAGAAAGATAATAATCAAAGTCATGATTTACAACCATCGGATGATATACGTACATATATATATGTAAGAAAATAAAGAATATGTAAAAATTAAATTAGCAGTGAAAAATTAATTTTCTTTCGCTATTCTTAAAATAGAAATCTCTCTGCGCTGCGTCATTTCGAGCTTAATCCATGTCATAGTCCTCTTATATAATTCTGATGTTGTAAATGGAACTAAAACAGCCAATAAAAATTTTAAAGGAGTATTACTTATCAAATAAAAATGCATTAAGAACCAAAACTAACTCAGTCTGAATTAAGATTCCACCCTCAACATAACGCAATTGCTTTCAACGCTTTGGCCTAGCTGGTCTGCAGTCTGTTTGCTCCTTCTTTCTTACTCCAAATTTATCAAAAATTTAAACTTTTAGAATAATTTCCTATTATATTAAAAAAATAATATTTGTAGTTTCTCTGTAAAACTTAAAAGTCAAAGCCATGTAGATTTTATTTATTTAATAAAAATTTTGTATAATCACTTTAAGAATTTAATGAATCGTTCAAGGAAAGCTCCTTCATAATCCGAATAACACCATTTTGAACTAATAACAATTTTTAGCATACAATTAGCTAGACATTAGGTATTTTGGAAGCAGGAAAGGTGGAAATATGGAACTCCTTCGCCAGACATCGAACCATGAACCTCTGGAATACGCGCCCAGCGTGCAGACCATCACACCACGAAGGAATGCCAAGAAGGCGGGAGAAATACCTTATAACTGTTGTAAGAACTAAGAAAGGGTCTTCTCAATTTTTGTAATAAAATTAGGCATTTTGGTTACTTTCCTACGTACATATTAGTATGCTGTTATCATCACCGGTTATAAATTTATGTATATTGTCCGAAGTGCTTATTACTTTCAAAGCTGGTTGCAGGGACAGAATATTCATTGTATTGTTAAATTTAAATTTGCTATTTACGCTTCTTTGGTTGATATTCGTACTCAGTTACATAGTGAATGAACACGAAAATTATAAAATGCGGAATTTGTAAAACTTAGTTCTATTAGAATTAATTCTATTTAGCTGTAATGAATTTTCATCTTCTTGGCTGTATACTTACTGGTATAAAATTAGAGGCACGTCCAGATAGCAATCGAAATGTCTGGATTTCGAATCCCGAAGAAGGTATTGCCCGTTTTCTTGTTTACATACCCTATATATATCTAATAGCTCTAAAAAGTTATAATTCTTTGTTGTAATATTTACTATTTTAGTTATTTCGGTAATAGTTCAAACGTTAAACAAATATTTACCTTCTCATTTGTTACCAGAAAACAAATGGTAGTAAAATAAGTATGTCATACATTTGTTCTCATTAACTACTTCTTGAATATATGTAACAATACTTTTTTTTTTCTTAGAGCAATAATGCTATTGTTTTCCAGAGCTCATAGTATTTTCCTAACTATCAAGATGGTACCAGCAGCGTCCAAGCGGCAAAGTGGCTTAGCACTGGTAGTTCGGTCGAGGGTTCGAATCAAGGCGAAAGGCCTTAGCTGCATGGGCATTTTCGTGGTTTCCTAATGTATAACGTGTATAAAAGCCAGGTTTCCTTAGAAAGTCCTCAACGTAGGCATCCCTCTAGTTAGGAAAATAGCCCTCTGGAGCTTTGCCATATTTAAATAAACCAAACGTAACAATCGAGAATCTAAAAGAAGTCATGCTTTTGAAATACTGCAAGAAGTAAATTTTCAATTATGAACTAGAATTTGAATAGCAAGTTAGAGTTATAATTTCTGATAAATATACGCATACCTGTTGCGGCAATACTATTTCTCTGCTCGAAGTTTTATTTTTCATGCTTATTTTATCTGAAATGCAATAATAAAAATTCAAAACAAATGGAGACATTTAATATGCATTTTAAAAACAATCCCTCATATTTATTTACTTATTAATATATTTTTGAATGTATAACATAAATTGCACGGTTAAAAAATACATAAATTACCTTGAGATGTCGATTTCTTCTTTCTCGCAGACTCATTAGGGACTGCAAAAGGTTTAATTTTAGGCATTTTGGGTATCTTATCTGAAATGGGATAACAAAACATTTCTAGTACATAAATCCAGTCTTAGATCTATATATAAGACAGCAGTGGGAGTGTTAACAGTTAACAAACAATAATGAGAATCTAAAGGCACTTTTGGGTGAATTATAGATTGTAAGTTTTTATATTGTTACACCTAATACATAAAACTGTGAATAAAACATTGCAAAATAAATTCTTGTGAAAACGGCCACTTTTTATGCTTGTATAAATATTTAAATATAATATAATTTGTATTAGAAAATAGGTAGAACAACAGAAATGAAAATTAATCGATATTGATAATCAGGCCCACCAGCGGGTGCGGTAAAGTCGCTAAACATTGGTAGTTCGGTCCGAGGTTCGAATCCCGCGAACGGGCTGGCTGCATGGGTATTTTCGTGGTTTTCCCCCATGTGTAACGTGTATACGAGCCAGTTTCCCTTAGAAAGTCCTCCACGAAGGCATCCATCCCCTTAGGCAGATAGCCCTAGTGTGCTTTGCCATAATTAAATTAAATACACACGATATTGATAATCAGTAAATCGATTCGCATTTCAATGACTATCAACAAAGCACAGGACACTCGCTACAAGTTTGTGATCTAAATAGAAATATCCATGCTTTTCATTTGCTCAGACATCGGAAAAACGTTCTGATTTATTCTTGTAGTACCAGATAGCAGAAAAGACAAAATACTGTGTATCCAAAAGCACTTCAATAAGCAGCATTAAAACACAAATGCTTTCTTTCTTTTAAGTAGAAATGCAACGCATGCCGGGTAACAGCCTGTATTAAATAATCTAGACCAGCGGTTCTCAAACTTTTGACTAGCGCGTACCATTTAAACAAAAACTGAAAAAGTTCAGTCTTTCTTTACTTGTCCACATACACTAACTTAGATCCTACAATGAACCTGACGAAATCTCGGACAGGCGTGAATTAAATACAGAAGCACAGAAGAAGGGTGCAAAATAACCCTTTATTGAATCAAACTAATTTAACAGAAAGCTCATACTTCGTGCATTACAAAGACACCGTCCATTTGCGGCGGAAACTAAAACGTAGAACTATAATACAAGTCAATACCTGAAAAATAAACGTAGTGCAAGAACGCATTTCAAAATTACGCCTAACGGGTGAACTCACAGGAAATCTAACCGGCGTGATACTAAACTGATAAGACCAAGAGGCTTACTAGCTTGACCGCGAAATAACAACGAAACGTGCGCTAGGCTAGCGAAACACGCTCTGAATAAACTGAGATAATCACGCTTTTAAATAGCACTTCACTTTAAATTTACATCCTGGCGAGAGAATGTGAGGGAAAGTTTGAGAAATTGAGAACAGGAAAACTTAAAATAAATTTGTTATGCCAATTAAGAAAAACCCCAAAACTTTAGTACCACCACTACATTTTACAATGATTGTTTTTCAATTTCTCAATAGAAATATTAAAAAAAATACATATATTATTCCATTTGCACAACCTATTGGCTATTTGCATTTAATCTGCAGACGTAAAAAATATTAGATTAAAATTTGGCTACCATTTTAATTACCAAAATTTAAGTTATAAGACCTTAATTCTAATATATTGAATGTGAAGGGCCTGTTTAAGAGAGATCAATTTCTTATTTCATTTTAACCGCAAATTAGGGTCCACTTTTCATTTTCATCTGTATTTCTTTTTCAAATAAAACTTGGAAGAAAATCCTCGTTCACACAAGTAGGTTCTGAAAAAAGCTAGTAGAAGTTTAATATTAGCTTTATGTGTAACCAATTTAAATTCTTTTTTTGGATTCAGCCAAAAGTTAACAAGTGTGTTAGTTGTGAATACTTCAGTTAGAGTTTGATGACAGAAAATTTCTATCAATTTTTCTTTTTCTTCATAATATTTTTTACCTCTGCGATACGCGCCCAGCATGCATACCACGGCATTCCACCGATTGAGAATCGCTGATCTAGACTGTAGAGTATATTACTAACGTTACATGTTTTCGTAGAATTTTATTTTATTGGGGAAAAAGGATTTATTATTACTCTACTGCACAATAAACCTTTTTATCGATGACGTTCACCCAAAGTTTTGAATGATTCTGGTCATCTCTGGAATGGTTTTGATAGAGAAGACGATTATAAGTAACATCGATTTACATAAGGGATTCATCCTATTCTATTCTTTTAACGTAAAAACACAAAATCTGATGTAAAAGTATCTTATATATGTAAACAAATAAAATGACAAATTACTATTAAAATACGTTAAGCAGAACCTCGATTATGCGAGGTAAGTAGGACCGTGTTCAGCTCGAATAATCGAACGCTTGGTTAAAGGATACTAAATTTTGAATAATTTCAATTTTTTGGCAAGGTGTTTTACAATGTTTTAGTTGAAATTATAAAAATAAGCAAACAACTATTAATATTTGAACAGACTTTTCTATAATTAAGACACAATAACACGCCGAATAAATACTAATTCAGAAGTCAAACAACAAAAATCAGCGTTATATTTTCAAAATTTTCACAGTGACTATTTCGATGGTTTTTACCGAACCACCATCCTCAGCTGCAAAACCGCAAATGAACAAGATAGGAAATAATAATTAGATAAGATAAGAAAGCTTGGACAAGAATAAGCAAGTGGCGCCATCTGTTGGTTAAACCATTACTAAAACATAATTTCTTTAAAGGCCGAAGGCAACGATGGATTGGAATTAGGATCGTTAACTAGAACAGAAAGACTTTTTAACTAGAACAGAAAAATTTTGAAAATATAAAGCTGATTTTTGTTGTTTGACTTCTGAAACTTTTCTATGTCTAGGAAAAAAATTGTTTCCTCCAGTTAGCAACGTGGCGGAAAATAAAAACAAAATGCAGTAAGAAAAATTCTCTGTGCATCTGATAATTTAGAACCTTCGTGATTTAAAAAGTAATAGTTACTTAAGGAGGATTTCTGAGTTCTCTTGCGATGTTATAATCAAATCCTACTGTAAGCGTAATGCAAAATATCTGATATGCACACCACATGCTTTCCTTGTACGAAATATTAAATTATATGCAATTTTCCTGCATTTCATTTAAACATATTGAACTAACAGTTAACGAATTTTGAATTAAACTTACTTCTTCGAATGCGCATAAACCACAATAGAATAAATGCATTCTTAAAGTTATTTATTTACTATAGCGACAATTTGGGGCTAGGTTCACTTAACAGCGTTACATTTCATTTATTTTATTATTAGTGCACAAAAATTATATCATCTGAAGAATTACCACATGTTCTATTCAAATACTATGATAAATCTTAAACGATATATAAAGGAAATTAAACAAATAAAAAAGAAACAGCTTTTCACAGACGATTCAGCTTCATGCGCATGCGCTACAAATTAATTTAGTTCTCACTAGCGGCAATGCAAAAATGCATAAAAATTCAAAATATTACCATTAAAAATCCAAAGATATATAAAAACATAAAACACCAAGTACAGTTAAAACAATTAAAAAACCAATTTTTTACAATCTATATTACAGTTTCTACGCAAAAACAAGCAATCCGGCCAGGGGGCAAGAAGTCAGATTTTTCGGTGCTCAAAACTAAAAGATTCCTGCCTTAATTTATGGTGGACGCTATGTTGAGTCAATATATGGGATAATTTAATAACTTAAATGATAATTTAAATCTCAATAATAAAAGATGACGTTACTTTGCTGTCGCGAAGCTTAGTTTCTCTAGATTGGCAACACATCCACTGCTCTGCTAAGTTTCAAATGTAAACAAATATGGCTACTATGGTAAATAAAAATTTAGCTTAGCCGCACTTAAAAAAAAATTGAATTGTTGATGATTCCTCAATTATTGCATGCACCTTAACTAAAGGCATAAAAACCTTTACCGGAAGATAGCAACATAATTCAGTCATTTTTAAAGCAAAAAACGCACAATTTAGAAACAAATAAGAATAAAGAAACTGAGCCGAGTAACAGAGTGAATATATATACACATATATTTATATACTTTTGGTGCGGCTGAATGCAACCAAAATGGGAGGGGCACATCTACATGTTAAAGCAGTCCTATATACAAAATTTCAACGTTTTTGAGGTATGCGAGATACACACAGACATACGAAAGAAGCCCACGAAAAAATCTCTTCAGAATACATTTAAAATCAGTTTTATAATTTTTATGGAGAAAAAGTCCTTTATTATGTCCTTACGTACATATGTCACGCAAAAACATTGTCAGTCAAAATGGATATGTTCGTTGAAATATGATATCCAAAACGTTTCGCGATTACAATACTTCCTTTTTCTTTCGTACAACAAAGTAGAAATTATCAAATTTATAAAATAAAAAAATTACGTTGAAAATATATAATGTTAATTATCAGATTTTAAGAGATTTAGATTCACGAAAAAAATCTAAAATCGACTTTTTATATAAGGAATATTTGCTGTTTAAAGTCAAACGGAATTCATACGAATTTGATCTTTTTTAGTTAGAAATATTTATTTTTTCTTATAGGTATACTGCATAAACTTAACAGAAGTTAAAGAATTCCGAATTCTACAAACACAAAAGGAAACAGAAATTAGCGGGAATTCATGTAAAAATTCCCATTTTTTTAAGCTAATAAACGTTCTTCTGCTGACATATGTTGGGACCATGCATTAAAATTTTAAAAGCATCGCTTCTATATTGCAGCGAAATTTATCCTTAGATTTTATTTTTGGATGCAGAACGTAGAGATAGTACTAATAGGAATATTAATTCCTGAAAACAAAATATTAGAAACTATTAATTATATTCATGTGTTTTGCTGATAGATTATATTTACTCATATATGATACTTCTAAGTATCAAAATATATTCATATCACTGATAAACAGTGTGCTGTTATAATTTTCAAGGCATTTGAAAATTATATATACGAATTAATAACAACACAACGTTTGCCCAATAACTCGATTTCTTCATAAATGGAAACAAATAAGACCTCCAATTCTTTTATGGTGTTATTCTCAGTACAGCATAAAATTTTTAAACGGATAAAAGTACAAAAGAAATTTCGGAAAATATTAATTATTTTAAATTTATTTCATTATCTTCTGTTCTGCATATATTTTCATGAGACATACTCAAGAAATAGGGATTTTTTAGAGGACAGTAAAATTTCATGCTTTGTTTATCAGTCATACGAAACAAGTTTAAATAAATAGTAAAAGATAATTTTTATAAAATATTAAAAAATATCGTTTACGAATTTGAGAGCATTGTATAACATTATATAAGGTAATTTTCCTTCATTTCCGCTTGCCTTCCTGGTGTAAATAGAAACCTACTCGACAAGTTCAGGTTTCGAATCTCAGCGAAGGATTTGCACATTTTTCATGTCTTCTTCAAAATAATCTAACGACTCTATATAGTAGAGTTTAATTTTAAACAGGCGATAAATTTTGAGTGGTTTTTTTAATTTATTAACTAAAGCTTTTTAAAAGAAATATTTACCTAATATTTCCGTTTTGGAATTCTGCCATTTACTTCCATGATCTGATTTCTTTTTTTGGTTCATAAAAGACGGTGGCTTTACTTTCAGACCTATAATATTTAGTAAAATATCTTCAAATTAGAAGTACGTAGTAGTTCTTAGATTTTTTTTCTAATGTTAAAATTTGTCATTACCGATGAATGAAAAAAATCAGTTTAAGAATCATATCTGCATAAAATATATTCAATTTGAAACCTAGAATGGATCTTAGATTATTATCCATGTTTTACTTTTAAAGAAATTTTATAATTAAAGAAATAATGAATTTTTCAGAATAACATAGATGTGTAAGTTCTAGGTTAAGTAGATTCAGAAATGCTTCCCATGAAGGAAACACCTGCCCGATTTTAAAATTTAAAAATTAAGAAATAAGAAAAGAATAATAAAGCATATTTTAATAAGTATAATATGATCAAGTTAATTATTATATTTTAATAAGTATAATTAATTAAGTTAAAAATTAATGGGGAAATTTGAGCAACATGATATTCACTTGTAATTAAGAATATTTAACAATCAATTAGACAGTTTTTTTTAAATGCATGTGGAAAATAACAAATGCTATAATGAAAATAACAATAGATAGTCTTTCTATAATGATGCTTTTTTATTAGTTAAATAAATTGTTATGAAAGAAACAAAAAACGAATATATGAACTAAATTTTCAAATTCTCTTATTTTTAATTGTTTTTATTGACTTACCTGTTGATAAGAGAACCTCGTAATTTCGACACTGATTAGTATATCTTGTTTTTTCATAATTACTCAGTGCTTGCCATTCTTTTGCGCTGAAGAACTCTTGAATTTTTTTCTGGATACTTTCTTCGTAATCCATTTTTCAAACATTAAAATCTCAGAACAAAATATGCTTAAGAACTAAATAATTAATGCTTGAGGAAAAAAATCGTCTGCATTCTCTATACGAAATAAATTCATTTATTTTTCTTCTGCTATTGAAAGTCTTTTTGTTAAATTTATTCTTAACTTAAAGCATATTAAATAATGATTGTGATTATAAATAAAATTAATAACTATGATTATATATTAAAGCAATTGTATCAATTATTTGAAAATTTGCATAAAATTATACATGTTAAAATATGACTTCAAAAGGAGTAAACTCTAAGTATTATGTTATTTATGTTGATGAAGACATGCCAGCAGACGATATTTTTTCCCTTGACGTAAGAGAAAAACTGAAGTTGCCAATAAGAAGTTTTAGTTGAAACAAAATTCAGAGTAAATGTATTGAAATAAATTATTATATTACTTATGCAATTGTCCGTTAATGTTTATGATTCTTCAAATTCTGGATTTCCAAAAATTAGCTTCTTTTAGGTTTTGGCATTTAATGAACAAACTGTTAATAATAGCTTATTTCGAGCTATTTAAATTTCTTATTATAACAACGCCTTGTTTTATTCTTGACTCTGGCAATAAAATGCTACACTTCAGAATATATTTCTAAATACATTTTCTTACTTTTCAGTGGCAACAACGTTATCATTAAAATATTCTGTTAGAGATGTCGTTTAATATAGATATTTTTCATGTACAGTGCGTATCTGAAAAGAGTATAATGTGTTCTTGTTGTAGCAATATACAGTCAGACAAACTAAAAATTTAAAGAAATTATAAAAATTTATTTTTGAAAATTTGATCCTAGGTGAAAAATAAAAACAAAAATCAATATAAAATCTCAAAAAGTACAATAGAAATCATGTTAGTTGTTCCTATTATATTCATTTTACATGTTTATTTATTTAATCGCTGTGACAAAGTACTAACAATCTAAGAACAGTGAATAAACGAATACATTTTCGTCGACTTCGAAGTTTACAGGCAAAAGTCTTGTATAGTTACAGAAATGCGAGCAATTACGAAGGAAATACATGTAACGAACACAGAACCGAACAAAACTGTAAACTATACAGGAATTTTTCGAGAAGTTTTGCTTTGATTTTGTCCGTATCGTGTGATCACGTGGCTTAAAAACAGCTGAGAGAGAAGAACCAATCAGGAAGAAGGTGAAAAAAGCGTTTTAGCGGGAGAGTTCAACGATAGTCGCCATGTCAGCCATTATTTTTGCTATGGTCAAGATAAGTTCGAAATCAGTGTTTGACGTGTATTTTATTAATTTTATGTAATATATTTGTTATGCTGTTTACACTATCTATAATTAAATTCGGAACAGCTTTAGTATAGCCCACCTTTAAAGTTTGGCGAATTTCGTTTGGCGCCAAAGCACATGAAATACGTTGTTTTGAAAAATGGTTGCCATCCAGATATTCGACGAAACTCCGTGTTTCAAAAATGGCTGCCATCTTGATTTCACCAGAAATCGTGGATAAGTGAAATAAGTTTACGACTATTATACACGATTTTAAGAGAAAGAAATGATTAATAAAAATGATTAAGGTTAAAAGGATGTAATTTTAAAAACAATACCGTAAACCTTTAGCTATTTCACCTTTAATAAATAATTTGGTGTGACGTCACAATGTATTCTCCATGCTACGCGTAATTTCTATTTTCTCTTTAAAAAAAATAATGAATTGTTTATTATTGTAAATTAACATCAAATTTTTTAAATTTACATTTCTGAGCTTAGGTGTAACTGAAAATAAGTATAATAATTTTTTTTATATTTAAAATTATCATGATACAGTAAGCGAATTCTACCAGTTATTACAACGATAAAGAACGTCTCAGTCTCTCATACTTGTATTTCATACAGCTTCAGTATTTTCAAATATTTTTAAGCTTTAGCATTTATACAAATAAAAAAGGTTTTTCTTAATTAATACTCTGGAACATATCAATTTTATCATATTTACAAATTAACGTTTTGCTACGTAACAACATAATCCCTTATATACCAGTAAGTATACAATTTTCACTATTTTCTAAAAATTTTAAACTTCACATTAATGAAAAACAGGTTCTTAAATTCCTAAATCACATTATATTCTCTGTAGGCAGGCATACTAGAATTCTACACATAAATAAATAAAAAATGTAATTTCTCGCATTTTTGTGGGTGTGTTTTATACTTAATTTAGTAACAATTATTACATAACATACATTTTCTCAAAATATTAAAATATCAATTTAATAAAAATAAAATTGTTTAGAACGGAGCAAAAAATGGCTCACATAAGCGATGGGGCACTTACTTTTCCATCAAATATTTATCCAAATATTTTACTTTATAAAAGGTTTTAATATTTTATTGGATTTCCTTTTACTTTTAAAACATGATTTAATCTTCTTGGAATGGATCCGATGAATTTTTTTTTTTTTTTTTTTTTCGATTTCTGGAGTGATTTTACCCCATTCTTCTTGAAACACCGATTTTAATTGTTGTTTTGAAGAAATGGTGTGTTTGAGAAATTCTTCCCTGGGTTTTATCCACACCAAGATTCTACCGTCAGAATCAAATATATTAAATTTACTCTCATCAGCAAATATAACTTCATTCCAGTAATCAGAATTCTTATTTATGTTGGATTTTGCGAAAGCCAGTCTGAGGTTTCTATTCTTTTCACTCACGAAGAATTTTTTCCTGGCTGCTCTACCGTGAAATCCAGCAGATCGAATTACTCTTCCAATAGTCTCAGGATTAACAATTACTCCATATAATGCTTGTAAATCAGCAGCAACTTTAGGATTTGATGGTCGGCCAGGTCTTCTTTTATCCTGAATCATATGATTCTTTTTATATCGTTTAATGATATTGAAAACTGTTGAATGACTCAGGTTAACTGTTTCAGAATAGAATTTTCACGTTCAATATGCAAATTAATAACTAATTTTCGAATTTCAGTTTCTTTTCGTTCAGCATTCATGGCTGCACAGAGATAAAAAAACACAGAAATTCCAAAACAAACTGGAGAGAAATACTGCAGACGATTTTATAAATTATTGCCAATTGCTTTTGAGTAAAAATAAAAACCCAAAAAAAATATTTTTATTGCTTACTTCAGACGATTTTTGTCGCATAGTACGTAGTAGTATCTAATAGTGTCCCATCACTTATGTGAACCATTTTTTGTTCCGTTCTAAACAATTGTAATTTATAAAATTAATATTTTGAGAAAATGTATGTTATGTAATAATTGTTACTAAATTTAAGTATGAAACACACCCACAAAAAATTTTTACATGCTTTTTTTTAATTTATTTTATTACAGTTTCCTTTTGTAAAGCACTAGTGTCCCATCACTTTTGTGAGACACTGTATTATCAAAGAACTCATATTATCAAGTTCGATTACGATTGCAAACACTACGTATTATAATAATGAGGTAAAAGTTACTTATAGGGTCAAAGTTTACAGTTTTACTACTGTTGAGTAGATCGTCAGGCTATCGATATATATCGTAAGTCGGAAAGCATTATAAACATATCAAAACCAAAAAATTAAAAATACAATTTAAATGAAAAATGATGTCTTAAATATAATTCACAATTAAAACAACAATAAAAATTTAAAATACACAAAATGTAAGAAATTGCATATAAAATACGTTACATTACAGCTCGTCATCACACATTATCTCGTTTTCCTTTATACACAACGATCCGTATTCGCTCGAAAAACATCAAAGCTCGGTGTCCATGTACACATCCATCTATTTCCACCTTAAAAATATCAGACAATTGGACAACTTCGGCATTGCGCACTACATTGGCTCTGCCCATGTACACATCGATCTATTTTCACTTAAAAAAACATCCTATAATTGCGCACTACATTGGCTTTGCCCATGTACACATCGATCTATTTTCACTTTAAAAAAAATCCTAGAATTGCACAAACTAGGCACCGCGCACTACATTGGCTTTGCCCATGTACACATCGATATATTTTCACATAAAAAAACATCCTGTAATTGCACAAACTAGGCACCGCGCACAACCTCGGCATTGCGCACTACATTGGCTCTGCCCATGTACACATCGATCTATTTTCACTTAAAAAAAAATCCTAGAATTGCACAAACTAGGCACCGCGCACAACCTCGGCATTGCGCTCTACATTGGCTTTGCCCATGTACACATCGATCTATTTTCACTTAAAAAACAGCCTAGAATTGCACAAACTAGGCACGGCGCACAACCTCGGCATTGCGCACTACATTGGTATGTCCATATTATTTTCATCATACTCTTATCCTATTCGTTAGATGCATTTAACGTATTACCTTAAATACTACACTTTATGTGACTTTTACTTGACTGTAATAATCATCCTCGATGTGTAAATAGTATTAACTTAATTATTATAATTGATATCATATGCTTTCATTTTAATCTGAATGTTGTAACTACAGTATATGTTGTCAACACCTTAACGTGTCTAATATATTAATTTAATCATTATAATCGTAATCTTATGCCTTCCACTTAAATTGAATGTAGTAAATACATAATCCAACGTATATCTATGTAAGTGGACTCCCATCAGCATTAAGTAATGAACTGACACTCTCATAAGTATGTTTCATAAGCAAATTATCTTAAGAATGTATTATATTATGTATATTTAAGCATTGCCATAAGTAATATAAGCAAGATCCTGTATGCGTATCAATAATATGTGTTGCCAGTTGTACAAAATTTCATGCTTGTTTAATCATTGTACCATGGTATTCTGTGTTTTGCTTACTGTACTCAGAACTTCATTCTTAGTACTCATTCATCTCAGTATGTTGTCATTTTTATCTCTTATGTTTTTATTGCATATTACCAAGAAGTGTCATATAATCAAAATGCGCACTAAGTCATGTCAGCCATAGCACTTTCCTATATTCTTTATTATTTTACTGCTATGTAATTATGCCTTATTGCAAATCGTATAACCTACTAAGCAAGCATATCTTAATCTAGAATTTATCATGCACTTACCTAGTATTAATAGTTATAAGATAGTTGCATCATTTCGATTTCCGCACAAAATTCCTGAAACACAGCTGTATGTTTTGCATTAA